CATCCCCGCACCCAATTTTCCGACTCCTGTCCCTTTAAATCCGCCGCCATCTTTCTCTCGCGTTCCCTCGCCGGGGGCTCCACTACGCGTGCGCACGCCCTGCAAGCGCGTCGCAACCGGAAGTGCGTCACACACAGAGGCCGGAAGTGGGCGCGCCGTGCGCTGGAGGTTTCCAGAAGCGGCCGAGAGCGGCGGACGGGCGCGGGGGGGCGGTTCAGAGGGGTGGGGTTCCGCTATGGTGGATTACAGCGTCTGGGACCACATCGAGGTGTCGGACGATGAGGACGAGACGCACCCCAACATCGACACCGCCTCCCTCTTCCGATGGCGGCACCAGGTGGGGCGAGGCCCGGCCTCAGGGCCCGGCTCTGCCCGTAGGCCGCGTTGCCATGGCGACCGCGCCCCCCTCCCCGTTGCCGTGACGATGCCCCCCTTACCCCCGCTGCTCCTTTTTCCCCTCGGCCCCCCCGCGCCGTCCCGGGGAGATGCGGTGTCCCCGTTGCCGTGGTTACCGGTGCCCCCCCCCCCCAGGGGCTCGCAGCCCCTCCTCGGCGCCCCCCACCTTTGTGTGGGGGGGTCTTCATCCACTTCCCAGCCCCGTCCTCATAGGAGACCCCATTTTGTCTCCCTCCCTTTTCAGAGTTGCCCCCACGGAGGTCCCCACTCCCTCCCAAGGTTGGTCCCCTTTGGCGTCTTCAGTCCCCTCCCCGTGGGGGTCCCCAGGGCAGCCCCCACCCCGCATCCCCATCTCATCCTCATTGAGGGCTCAGTCCCATCCCCACAGCTGTCCCTGCGCTGTCCCCATTGGGACCCCCAGTCCCATCCCCATGGGGATGTCTCTCCGTCCCTGTCACCATAGGGGTCCTCATCCCATCCCCCTGGGGGTTCCTGAGGCTCTCCCCATAGGGGACCCGTCCTGTCCCCATCCCATACCCAGTGTGAGCCCCCAGCATTGTCCCTGTCCCGTCCCTCTCTTCTCCCCATTCTGTCCTCACGGGGGTCCCCACCCCCTCTGCTAGGCTGTCCCTATAGGAGTCTCCATCTCATCCTCATGGTGATCCCCATCCTCTTCCTATGGGATCTCCACGGTGGTCCCCATCCCCTCTCCAGAGCTGTCCCCATCGCATCCCTATGGGGGTCACCAGCTTCTCCTCTCAATTGTTCCTGTCCCATCCTCACAGTAGTCCTGCCCCTATGTGGGTCTCCATGGGGACAACATCCCCTCCCCAGAGTTGTCTTACAGAACAGACTTTGAGCTCCCCTCTTCCCACCTTGGGGGAAGGGGGCTGAATGCCCCCCCCCCCATTTTTCCCAAGGAAGTCATTCCTGCTCAGTGCTGTCCCTACTGGATGCACTGGGATGGGGAGGTGGGGGGGGCAAGAAGTTTGCTCCTTGCTCCTCACCCCCCAAAGCCCCAAAACCATGAGACAACCCCCCCCCCCCCCCATTTCCCCCCCACTTCCAGGCCCGCGTGGAGAGGATGGAGCAGTTCCAGAAGGAGAAAGAGGAGCTGGACAAGGGCTGCAGGGAATGCAAGCGGAAACTCGCCGAGTGCCAGAGGAAACTGAAGGAGTTGGAAGTGGCGGAGCCCGGGGGGGGGTCCGGGGGGGCCCGGGGGGAGCGGGAGAGGCTGCAGGCGGAGGCGCAGCAGCTGCGCCATGAGGAGAGGAACTGGGAGAGCAAAATGGAGGAGCTGCGCAAGAAGGAGAAGAACATGCCCTGGAACGTCGACACGCTGAGCAAGGACGGCTTCAGCAAGGTGGGCCGGGGGCTGTACCCCCCTCCCCCCACATCCCCACCCCACGCCTTGGGGTTGTTGTCCCCCGTTGGGGTCACGTTGGGTCTCCCCCCACTGGGTGTCCTGCCCCCTCGGGGTCATGCTGGGTCTTCCTCATTGGGGTGGGTGTCCCCCCATTGGGCTTAACCCCCCCTTACCCCATGGGCGCCCCATTGGGGTCACATTGTGCCCCTCCCACCCCCCCCCAGAGCGTCTTCAACGTGAAGGCAGAGGAGAAGGAGGAGACGGAGGAGCAGAAGGAGCAGAAGCACAAAACCTTCGTGGAGCGCCACGAGAAGCAGATCAAGCACTTCGGTGAGGGGGGCTGCCCCACATCCCCCCCCACATCCCATCCCCAGCCCTCAACCTGGGGGTCCTGCCCCCACTCTGCCCCAAACCCCTCCACGCACCCCCCCCAACCTGGGGATCCTGCCCCACATCCTGTCCTGCACCCCAGCCTGGGGGTCCCTCCCACCCCACACATTTCCCTCATTTCCCACATTTCCTCCCTTTGGAGGACCGGTCTCTCTCTCCCTTTGGAGGACTATTCTCTCTCTCCCTTTGGAGGACCATTCTCTCTCTCCCTTTGGAGGACCGGTCTCTCTCTCCCTTTGGAGGACCATTCTCTCTCTCCCTTTGGAGGACCAGTCTCTCTCTCCCTTTGGAGGACCAGTCTCTCTCTCCCTTTGGAGGACCGGTCTCTCTCTCCCTTTGGAGGACTGATTTCTCTCTTCTGGGTGGAATTGTTCTTTTTTGAGGACTGACCTTTTGGGGACATTTCTCTATTTTGGGGGGATGATGTCTCATTTTGGACCCCCCCAGGCATGCTGCGGCGCTGGGACGACAGCCAGAAGTACCTCTCTGACAACCCGCACCTCGTTTGCGAGGAGACTGCTAATTACCTGGTCATCTGGTGCATCGACCTGGAGGTGGAGGAGGTCTGGACCCCCCTGCCTCCTTTTTTGGGGCGTTCAGTGCCTCCTCTCTGTGATTTGGAGTTTGCTTTTTTTTTTGGAGGGGGGGGAAGAGTGTTGATCGTCTCCAAATGAAGAAGGGGATGGAAGAAGCCCCCCCTTCCCCCCTCCCAACACTTTGGGTTTTTTGGGGGGTGAGGGGGTAGGGGAGGCACAGAGGTGCTGTGTGGGGAATAGGGGCAGGAATGAGTCCAGTCCCCGGGATTTGGGATCTTGGGGGATGGGGGCATTCCTTTGGGGATTGGGTTTTTTGGGGGGGCTGAGGGGCTCTGAGTGGAAAAGGCGACAGAAAGGCCCCCCCTCGGCGGCTTGAGGCTTTTCTGGGGAGCCCTCTGGGAAAGGCTCCGGGCAGCAGCCCGTGCTCCGCACTGTCCTCCTTTCGGGGCTCCTTTCGGGGCTCCTTTTGGGTACTTTTAAGGGTTTTCCTGGAGGCTCCCTTTGGCCTCTGACCCCCCGCCCCCCACAGAAGCAGGCTCTGATGGAGCAGGTCGCCCACCAGACCATCGTCATGCAGTTCATCCTGGAGCTGGCCAAGAGCCTCAAGGTGGATCCTCGCGCGTGCTTCCGCCAGTTCTTCACCAAGATCAAGGTGAGCGCCGCCCCCCCCCCAGGGCCCCCAGAAGCCCCAGAAGGAGGGGATTCCCACCCGGAACGGGCCGCCCCCCCGCAGACCGCCGACCAGCAGTACATGGAGGGCTTCAACGACGAGCTGGAGGCCTTCAAGGAGCGCGTGCGCGGCCGCGCCAAGGCGCGCATCGAGAGGGCGATGAAGGAGTACGAGGAGGAGGAGCGGCAGAAACGCCTGGGGCCCGGCGGCCTCGATCCCGTTGACGTCTACGAGTCGCTCCCACCCGTGAGTGCGGCGATTTTGGCTCCGATCCGCACCTTTGGGGCTTTCCTCTCTTTGCAGCTTTGGCCGTAACCCCGCCGAGGTTCGCAGTGCGCGAGCGTGGCGCTTTTGGGGAGGAATTCCCATTTTCAGTGATTTTCCGCACTTTGAGCCGTCGGCCGTGGCCCCTCGGTGCCCCCCCCGCTCTGTGCCCCACGTCGCCACCCTCCTGTCACCACCCCCACGATTCTCTGCCCCACAGGAGCTGCAGAAATGCTTCGATGCCAAAGACGTGCAGATGCTGCAGGACACCATCAGCCGCATGGACCCCACCGTGAGTGCCCCCCCCAGCGCCCACCCCACAACCACCCTCTGCCCCCCCTCCAATAACAGCCCCCCGTTTCTTGTTGCTGCAGGAGGCGAAGTACCACATGCAGCGCTGCATCGATTCGGGGCTGTGGGTCCCCAACGCCAAAGCGGCAGCTGAGGGTGGGGGGCAGGGGGGGGCACACGGCCAGGCGGGGGGGGGCAGCCCTGAAGCACTCTACGAGGAAATCCAGAAAGAGAGCCAGGAGGAGGAGGGGGGGCAGGGGAAGGCCTGAACCCCCCCCTTCAGTGGCCCTGACCCCATTCACCTCCCCCCCACTTCTCCCCCGGGGGGGCGCAACGCGCTCTCTTCTCCCCCCCCTCGCTTTGCCCACTTTTGGAGACACACACACACACATGGGGGGGAGAGGGGGGGCGGGCGGCTCTGTTTGGGGGTGGGACCCCCCTGCACTTGTGGGGCTGGGGGTGGGGGGGTCCCAGGGCAGCTGCTGCCCGCCCCCTCCCCCCCCAACTTTTGGCCGCCCGCCCTCCTCAGCTCAGCACCAATAAAGTGATGGAAGCGATGGCTGGTCGTCCCTCTTTGTGGAGTTCTCAGCCCCATTCGTTGCAACACCGCCCCAGAGATTCCCAGACTCACTGCCCCATAGGGCCGCTGTTCCCAGCTGCAGATTCCTGGACCCTCCGTCCCACAGACCTGCTGAGCCGCTGCCCCATAGCGACTCATCCCCACCCGGCCCCACAGATCCCCATCCCCCCACATCGCTCCCAGCCCCACAACAGCACTGCGCACAGTGGCTGCGCCCCCTCCCACCAACTGGAGCCACCTGCTCCCCCACCCCCAGCTGTGCCCCCACGTCCCTCAGTGCCCCCCCCAGTCTGGCCCATTTCCGCCCCATTTCCACCTGCCCTCCCCCTCCAACCCCCCAGTTTCAACCACTTCCATCCCAACATTCGGCTCTGCCCCCAGATGTGCACCACGTAACCCCCAGCCCCCCAAGTGTGGTGACCCCCACCCCATATCGAGCTGTGCCTCCACAGTTCGGCCCATCTGCCCCCCACCCCCGTGCCCACTTTGCACCCCCAAAGCCGTACCCCATTCATTCAGTGCTGCCCGTGGCTACGCCCCATTCAGGCCACGCCCACATCAATAAGCCCCGCCCCCTCACAGCTACGCCATTCACAAAAAACGCCCCGCTCTTCCGCGAGCTCCGCTCCCGCGTAGGGGCGTGTCCCCCGGCAGCGTTCGGCCAATGGCAGCGCGCGTCTCTGGTTACAATGGGCGGTGGCGGCGGCGGAAGCGAAGCCGGAGCGGAAGCGGGGGGCGGAACCGGAAGCGTGGGGAGGAAGCGGAAGCGGAAGCAGGACGGAAGTGAAAGCGGTGAGAAGCCGGTGTGTGAGGGATTGTGGGGTTGGGGGTCAGGGACTGTGGGGAGATGTGGGGCTGGGGGTGTTTGGGGTGGGAGTGGGGATCGGGGCTGTGAGCCGCCATTGGCTGCAGCTTTTTTGGGATCCCTCGTCCCCTTGGGATGTTTTCCGTGACCCCCCCCAACCCTTGGCATCCCCTTCCTTTCTCCTCCCCCCTCGCCCCTCTTTGGGACCCCCACCTCTCTGAATCCATTCCCCCCCAATCGACCCCTCGGGATCCTCTCCCTGACCCCATATTCTACCCCCTTCCCCCGCTTTGGGATCCCCTCCCCCCACTTTAGGATCCCTTTCCTTGCCCCCGCCCCTCCACTCTTTGGGACCCCCCCGACCCCCCAATAGGCCCCTTAGGATCCCCCCCACCCCCACCCCCCTTCCTCCCCCCCACAGGTCACCACCACGTTATGCCCCAACCCCAGAACCAGGTGGGTCCCTTCCCACTACCCACCCCCTTCATTAACCGTGCCACTAATTACCCCCCCCAGGCCATGTCGCTGTGCCGGAGCGCCGTGAGCCCCCCCGGTGTCGCCATTTTCCTGCACGGGGAGGGGGATGGGGGCAGGGAGGAGCAATGGTGGAGCGATGGGAGCGGAGCGCCGAGCGCTGAGGAGATCTGCGTGGAGTTGGCACGGCGCCTCGGTGAGAGGGAGCTTCGTTACCACTAATTAAGGGGGGGTGGCAAGGGAGTTCTGTGGTCCTGTGATCTGTAAGGACCTTACCAACCTGTCCCATGGTCCTGTGATCTGAAAGGACCTTTCCGACCCATCCCATGGTCCTGTGTTCTTTAGGGACCGTCCCTACCCACCCCGTGACCCTACACCTTCCAGGACTCTCCTATCCCACAATTCAGTGACCTTCCAGGACCCCCCTGCCCCCACTCTCCAGTTGTGTGACCTTCCAGGACCCACCCGGCTGTCCCCACAGGCATCTCCCCGCGCTGCGCAGCGCTGTTCGCGCTGTACGATGCACCTTCCAGGACCTGGCTGCCGCCCAACCACCGCTTCGGTGCCGTGGAGGACCGCGACCGCCGCCTGCACTTCCGCATCCGGTGAGCCGGGTCCTGTCAGCTCACAGCTACCCTGGGGTGGGACTGGCCAGGTCCTTGAAGAGAACAGAAGGATGGAATGGTTGGAGTGGAAGGGTCCTGGAAGGTTGTAGAGCCATAGAGTGAGTTGAGAGGATCCTGAAAGGTCACTGAGCCGTGAAGTAGTTTGAGAGGGTCCTTACAGGTCACAGGAGCATGGGGGGGGGATAGGAAGGCCCTTAAAGATTAAAAAGCCGTGGGATGGAGTGGAAAGGTTCTCACAGATTGAAAACGCATGGGTTGTGTGGGACAGGTCCTTACAGATTAAAATTGTGCAGGATGGATTGGAAAGGTTCTTACAGGCAAGAATAAAAAAACGTGGGATGGGTTGGAAAAGTCCTTGCAGATTAAAAAAAACATCTGGTAAGCTGGAAAGGTCCTTACAGATCACAGAACCACAGCTCTCTCACCTCAGGTTCTACTTCCGGAACTGGCACGGCATGAACGAGGCGGAGCCGGCCGTCTTCCGCCACGCGCCGCGGCACAACGAGGGCACCGGAGAGAAACCGCGCGGCACAGCTGTGCTCGACAGGGCGTCCTTCCAGTATCTGTTTGAACAGGTGGGGCAGGTCCTGAAAGGTCAAAGAAATGAGGGACGGTTGGGTTGGAAGGGTCCTTGAAGATAATAGAAGAATGGAAGGATTGGGCTGAAAGGGTCCTTACAGGTTATAGAACCACAGAATGGGTCAGAAAGGTCCTGGAAGGTAATGGGACCGTAGAATGGGTTGGAAGAGTCCTGGAAGATAATAGAACCGTGTAACGGGTTGGAAGGGTCCTGGAAGGTCATAGAACTGTAGGAAAGTTGGATGGGAAGCCTCCTTCAAGCTCTCTTCCCATCACCATGTGGTGTTCTTCCCCTCCACAGGGAAAATTCGACTTCATTAACGATGTGGCATCGTTAACGGACTTCCGGTCAGAGCAGGAAGTGCAGCGCTTCAAAAATGAGAGCCTGGGCATGGCCGTGCTGCACCTCTGCCACATCGCCCTCCGCAGCGGCCGCTGCCTCGAGGAGGTGGCACGGAAGTACAGGTGGGCACCCGTGGGGGTGGGAGTTGAGGGGCTGTGGGGTGGGATTTGGGGTCAGGATTTGGGGATTTGAGGTGGGGATGTTGGGGAGTTTGGGTGAGGGCTTTGGGTCGGGATTTGGGGTCAAGATTTTGGGTTGGGATTGGGGATTTGGGGTTGGGTTTTTGGGTTTGAATTTTGGGTCGGGATTTTGGGGATTTGGGGTCGGAGCATTGGGACGTTCCAACAGCGCTTCTGCTGTTCCCACCCTCTTCATCCCACAGCTTCAAGGCGTGCATCCCGCGCTCCTTCCGGCTCCAGATCCAGCAGAGCAGCGCCGTGACGCGGCTCCGAATGAAGAACGTCTTCAGGAAGTTCGTGCGGCGCTTCCAGCGGCACACGGTGGGCGCGGGGACGCTGACGGAGGAGGACGTCATGTTCAAATACTTGGCCACCTTGGAGCTGCTGGCGCCGCGCTTCGGCTCCGAGCGTTTCGCCGTGCTCTCCTTGGACGTCTCCAACGAAGGGGAGAAGGCGCAGCCCTGCGGCAATGGGGGGCACGCGATGGCGGAGCGCGGGGACGCGGCGGCCCCCGGGGAGGCTTCGGTCAGCCACGAGGTTCTGGTCAGCGGCACCGGTGGGATCCAGTGGCGGCCCGTGCCCAGCCGGGTGAGTTCGTGGGGGGTTGGGATGGGTTTGGGGTGGAAGGGTTCTTACAGGTGGTAAAATGGGGTGGGATTGGGTTGGGAGTGTCCTTAAAGAACCTGAAGTAAGTTGGTTTTGGATTGGGAAGGTCCTGAAAGCGTGTAGAAGGAGTTGTATTTGGGTTGGGAGGGTGCTTAAAGATCATAGGACCACGGAGTGGGTTGAAAGGGTCCGTAAAAATCATGGAATGATGGAATGGCTGGGTTGGAGGGTCCTGTAAGGGTGTAGAATAGGTTGGATTTGGGTTGGGAGGGTCCTTAAAGATTAAAGAATCATGGAATGTGTTGGAAGGATTACTAAACATTACAGAACCACGGATTGGTTGTGTTGTAGGGAGCTTTGAAGGTCTTAGAATAGGTTCCATTTGGGTTGGGAGGGTCCTTAAAGATCACAGAACCACAGGATGTGTGGGCAGGGCCCTTGAAGGTCATAGAACAATGTGATTGTTGGGTTGGAAAGGACCTCGAGGCCCCACCAGCCCCACCCCCGCTGTTCCCAATGCTCCATTTCGCTCTGCAGAGCGTTGAGGTCGTCTCCCACCGTGGATATTTCGCGCGGAGGAGCAGACGGAAGGATCCAGAACCCCCAGCACCGCCGGAGCCCCCATGGGTGCACTTCTGTGACTTCCAAGAGATCACCCACATCGTCGTCCAGGAGCGCAGGGTCTGCGTCCACCGGCAGGACAACAAGTGCATGGTGAGCGCCGCGGTGGGAAGGGGAGGGGTTGGTTCTTGTTGGGGTTTTTGGGTGGATATTGAGTGGATTTGGGGCTGCCTGGATGTGGAAGATGGAAAGGACCGATGGGGTTCGGGTTGAACCAAGGGTTGACCAAACATTGGCCAACAGTCAACTCAATGATTGACCAATGGTCGACCAGCGGTCAATGCTGTCGTTGACCAATTAAGACCAGCAGTTGACCCAAGGGTTGACCCAACAGCCAATGTAGTGGTTGACTTGTTAAGACCAACGGTTGACCAGCAGTTGACCACTGGCTAACACAACAGTTGACCAACAGCTGACAAAGTGTTGACCAGCTGTTGACTCAGCAGCTGACTCAAAGGTTGACCCTTGGTTGACCCAGGGGTTGACTCAGCAGTTGGCCAACAAGCCAGCAGAGACGCAGAGGTCCCCTCCAACCCCTTGACTTCTGGGATGTGGGGACTCCGCTTCCCCACACCTCATTGCCTCCCCCCCCCTCCCAGGAGGTTCTCCTCCCGTCCCACCCGAGCGCTCTCTCCTTCATCTCACTGCTGGACGGCTATTTCCGACTGACGGCCGACTCCAACCACTACCTGTGCCACGACGTGGCCCCGCCGCGCCTCGTCATGAGCATCCTCAACGGCATCCACGGCCCCATGCAGTGCGTCCCGCGCCCCGCTGCAACGCCCCGCGTCCTCGGGGTTCCCCACAGCGTTTCCCCTTCCGCAGGGAGGAGTTTGTCTTCGCCAAACTGCGTCGGGAGGAGCACGAGGAGGGGCTCTACGTCCTCCGCTGGAGCGTCCTCGACTTCGATAGGGTGATTCTGGCTGTGGCCAAGAGGGACCACCAGGAGGTACCGCAACTGTCCCGCATCGGGGGGAGGAGGTGGTTGTTGGGATTGGAAATCTGCTGATCTTGGGGTTCCGCCTGAGCTCAGGAGCTGCAGCAGAGCTCTCTGCAGGAGGTGGAAGGGAGCGGTGTCGATGCGGGGCGTTCTTCTCTAGTTCCTGGGCTGCGCTGTTAATTTCTGTTGCCTGATGAGAGGAGTGGGAAGGGGGAATCCGTGTGCCCCATTTGGGGGTTGAGGTTGGGAACCCAATGGGCTCCACCAGTCCCAATAGGAACCCAATGGGCTCCACCGGTCACACGGGGATCCCAGTGGGGTCCAGCAGAACCTGCAGGGCTCCTCCAGGCATTGGCTGACGGATCAGTGCCAGCACCACCCACCGTCCCCCAGGACCCTGCTGTGCCGGGCGCCCTCCAGTTCCGCCAGTTCCGCATCCAGAAGAAGGGCAGCTCCTTCGTGCTGGAGGGCTGGGAGCGTGAATTCCGCACCGTGCGGGCGCTGCTGGACGCCCTCCAGGGCTGCACGCTGCGCTCCGGCGACGACAGCTTCACGGTGAAGCGGTGCTGCCTGCCCAAACCGGGAGGTTCGGCCCGATTCCCCTTTCCTTCCGCCGTGAAGCGGGGCGCAGCGCTGTCGGCGCGGCCCGCTGGACGTCGGCTCCTTCTCCTGGCAGAGATCTCGGATCTGCTGATCACCACGCAGAAGGTGAAGGACAACGCGAAGCGGATCCTCAACCTGACCCAGCTCAGCTTCCACCAGATCCGCAAGGATGAGATCACTCAGGTTGGGGGGCTCAGCCCCACATCTGGGTGGTGTGGGGGCGTGGAGGGAGACCTGGAGCGATCCTGGAGCCATGGGGGGTAGAGGGGACCTCTGGGGATCCCCCAGTCCCATCTGCACCAAAAAAACAGCTGTTGGCCAGCCGATGGTCAGCCATTGGCCACAGGGACACCAGAGGCCATCTTGGCCAACAAGGGCACATCGTCGGCTCGCGGCCAGCTGTTGGTCACTGGTTGGTCCCTGGGATGTCAGTGGCCATTGTGGCCAATGAGGGAGTGCCGTTGGCTTGTAGTCAACCAATGGTCAGTCATTGGCCACCAGGATGCTAGCGGCCATCTTGGCCAAGGAGGGCACGCGAGCGGCTCGTGGTCAGCCATTGGCCACCAGGATGCCAGTGACCATCGTGGCCAATGAGGGCACACCAAGGCTTGTGATCAACCACCGGGCCACCATCTGCCCTTCTCCTCCCACCCTCAGCGAGCCCACCTGGGCCAGGGCACCCGCACCCACATCTACGATGGCGTCCTGAACGTCCGCGGCGCCGCCGGGCCCGACGAGGCCGAATACTTCTCCACCGAACAGAACAACAACAGCGACGGCCGCGAGATGCGCGTGGTGCTCAAAGTGCTGGACCCGACCCACCGCGACATCGCCCTGGTGAGACCCCACCACCACCCACCGCCTGCCCGCGGCTCTTTGGCCGCAGCTCTTTGGCACGTTCTCTCTGCAGGCCTTTTTCGAGACCGCCAGCTTGATGAGCCAAGTGTCGCACGTCCACCTGGCCTTCGTGCACGGCGTCTGCGTGCGGGGATCCGAGAGTCAGTGATTCCGTGCTTTTTGTCCCAAAAAGTGAACGGGGCTCCCACCCGCGGTGGGGGTGGGGCTGAGGGGGGTTCAGAGTGTTTCTGAACTGACTGTGCTGTGGTTTGGTCGTTTGGTGATCTGTAAGGACCCTTCCCACACAGCCGTTCTGTGGTTTGGTGGTTCTGTCATCTTGAAGGACTTTTCCAACCCGCACCCAACCCATTTTATGACCTTTAAGGACCCTTCCAACCCAATCATTCCATAGTTTTGTAGTCTTAAAGGACCCTTCCAGCCCTTCCCACGGTTCTGTGACCTTTAAGGACCCTTCCAACCCAATCATTCCATAGTTTTGTAGTCTTAAAGGACCCTTCCAACCCTTCCCACGGATCTGTGACCTTTAAGGACCCTTCCAACCCATCCCATGGTTCTGTGGTCTTCAAGGTCCTTTTGAACCCAAATGTTCTGTGCTTCTGTGATCTTGAAGGACACTTCCAACTCAAACCCAGCTCATTCTGTCACCCTGTGACCTTCAAGTACTTTCCCAACCCAAATCTCTCTCGTTCTGTGGTTCTATGATCTTGAAGAACTCTTTCAACCCGTTCCATGGTTCTCTGATCATCAAGATCCCTTTCAATGTAACCCATTTTGTTACCTTTAAGGACCTTTCCAAACCAACCATTCCGTAGTTCTGTGGTCTTTAATGACCCTTCCAACCTGCTCTGTGTTTCTCTGACCTTTAAAGATCCTTCCCACCCCAAGCCAACCCATTCAATGACCTTTAAGGACTCTTCCAACTCAAGCCCAACCAGATCTATCATTCTATGACCTTCAAGGACTTTCCCAGCCCCTCCTCCATTTCCGTCTGCAGATATCATGGTGGAGGAATTTGTGGAGCACGGCCCCCTGGACGTCCTCCTGCGGAAGGAGAAGGGCAGAGTCCCCGTGGGGTGGAAGATCACAGTGGCCAAGCAGCTGGCCAGCGCCCTGAGCTACCTGGTGAGACACGGGGGTGTCCCCATGGTCGCCTAGAGACACGGAGACACCCATTCTGGGGGGGTTTGACCAGTGCTTGACCAGTGGTTTACCAGTGGTTGACCAGTGGTTGACCAGTGGTTGGTCAGTAGTTGGCAAATGGTTGACTACTGATTGACCAGTGGTTGTCTGATTATTGACCAGCCGTTGACCAGTTGTTGAGCATTGTTTCACCACCGGTTGACTAACGGTTTACCAATTGTTGACCAACGGTTGACCAACAGTTGGCCAACAGTTGCCCATGAGCCAGCAGTGTGCCCCGGTGGCCAAAACAAACCGGGCCGGGGGGACGGAGAGGTGACCCCAACCCCACACTGCGCCTCTCCCTGCTCCCCCAGGAGGACAAGAGCCTGGTGCACGGCAACGTGTGCGCCAAGAACGTCCTGCTGGCGCGAACGGGGCTGGGTGACGGCACGCAGCCCTTCGTCAAGCTCAGCGACCCTGGGGTCAGCTTCACTGCGCTGACCCGGGAAGGTGAGGTGTCCCCGCTGTCCTCCCTGCGTCGTGGGGGTTGGGGAGGAGTTGGGATTGCAGTCGGAATTGGGGTTGGAGTTAGGATAGCCATAGCGTTGGGGTGGCTCTAGGACGTGGTTGGGACTGGGTGGGGACAGGGTTAGGTGGAGTCGTGATGGAATCGGGTTAGGGTTGGAATCAAGACCTACTGGGACCCCTCCTACTGGGACCCCCCTCCTACTGCAACCCCCTCCTACTGAGAGCGCCTTAACTACTGGTACGCTCTCCTACTGGGACCCCCTCCCTGTATCCACCACACCGTGCCCCCTTCCCCCCACCCCCCAGAACGGGTGGATCGGATCCCATGGATCGCCCCGGAGTGCATTCAGGACGTGGGGAGCCTCCACCCAGCGGCTGACAAGTGGAGCTTTGGCACCACACTGCTGGAGATCTGCTTCGACGCTGACGTCCCCCTCAAGGAGCGCACCCCGGCCGAGGTGCCCCCATCTCCACTTTCCCTACACGTTTTCCGTGGTGAGGAGACCCTAAAAGTCATTTTTTTTTTTCCAATATTTTTTTGTAGAAAGAGCGTTTCTATGAGAAAAAGCACCGCCTGCCCGAGCCGTCCTGCCAGGACCTGGCTGCCCTCATCCAGCAGTGCCTGAGCTACGCCCCCACCGAGCGGCCATCCTTCCGTACCGTCCTGCGGGACCTGACCCAGCTGCAGCCCCACAGTGAGGCCCTGCCCTACACACCTCCTCCGCCCCATAGAAGCTTCTTCCATTGGGTGGTGATGGTCCATCACCATTCCCATCGCTCCTTCTTAATTCAGAGACCTGGGGTGTGAAACCAGAGCAAGAATGGTGTCCATATGGCATGGGTGGGGGGCACAGAGTGCTCAGATCCCACCCTCCCCATAACCTCTGTCCCTTCCAGACCTTGTGGACGTCTCCTCCGTCAACCCTGACCTCCCCGTGTCCGACCCCACCGTCTTCCAGAAGCGTTACCTGAAAAAGATTCGCGAGCTGGGGGAGGTGGGTCTGTCACGGTGGTCCTTGGTGTGGGTCTGGGTGAAAGGGTGGGCTGAGGGGGACCTCATGGGGCAGAAAGGGACCTCGTGGGGTGGAGAAGGACCTCATGGGGTTCTACAAGGCCAAGTGCAGGGTGTTGCTCCTAGGGAGCCACGCACAGCAGTGTGGGTTGGGGCTGAGCTGCTCTGGAGAAGGACCAGAGGAGGTCCTGGTGGCCAGCATTTGACCGTAGGTCGACCAGCGGTTGGCCATCAGTTGACCATCGGTTGACCACTGGTTGCCAAGCGCACTGCTGACCCCGTTGTGCATCCCCCACACTGCGTGCCTCCCCACAGGGTCACTTTGGCAAGGTGGGCCTCTACTGCTACGACCCCACCAACGACGGGACGGGTGAGATGGTGGCTGTGAAGTCCCTGAAGGCCGGCTGCAGCCCGCAGCTGTTGGCCAGCTGGAAGAAGGAGATCGCCATCCTGAAGACCCTCTACCATGAGAACATCGTCAAATACAAGGGCTGCTGCAGCGAGCAGGGTATGGTGGGAGCGCCGTGGGGCCGCCCCCGGCAGCGGCTTGGGGGTGCTGAGAAGGGAATTTGGGGGGGTTTCTGTGACTGAGTTTTGGGATGTCTGTCAAGAACGGTGTTGGGGTTGGGTTTGGGTCACCTCTCATGGTTGGGTTGAGGTTGGGCACATGACTGGAGTTTGGAGCACCTCCAGTGGTTGGGGTCATGGTTGGGATTTGGGTCATCTCTCCTGACTGGGGACGTGGCTGGGGTTCAGGATCGCCCTGCGGGATGCTCCAAATGCAATTTTGGGGATTTCTCCTTCCTGGTTGGGGTTTGGCTCACCTCTCATGTTCGGGGGTCGTGTTTTGGGGCATCGGACCCCAATTCGGTGGTTCCACCGTCCCCCACCATCCCCTACTCTCCCCCCAGGGGAGCAGATGGTGCAGCTGATCATGGAGTACGTCCCGCTGGGCAGCCTACGGGACTTCCTGCCCCGGCATCGCGTGGGGCTGCCGCGCATCCTCCTCTTTGCCCAGCAGATCTGTGAGGTGGGGGCCAGCCTTTCCCACCCCAAAAATGGTCCCATCCCCATCTTTCCATCCCAGAATGGCTCCATCCATCCCCATCTTCCCGTCCCAAAAACGGTCCCAACCCCAATTTCCCATCCCCATTTCCCCACCCCAGAAATAGTCCCAGCCCCATTTACCCTCTGCGGAAAATGGACCCATCCCTGTTTTTCTTCTCTAAAAGTGCCTCTGTGCCTTATTTGCGTCCCTATAAACCCCTCTGTGCCCCATTTGTGTCCCTATGAACCCCTCTGTGCCCGATTTGTGTCCCTATGAACCTCTCTGTGCCCCATTTGTGTCCCTACGAACCCCTTCATGCCCCATTTGTGTCCCTACGAGCCCCTCAGCGCCCCCTCCTGCCCCCTCCCATCCCCCCACTTCCCCCTCGAACGCCCCCCACCCCTCAGGGCATGGCCTACCTGCACTCCCTGCACTACATCCACCGGGACCTGGCAGCCCGCAATGTGCTGCTGGAGAGCGAGCGCCGCGTCAAGATCGGCGACTTCGGCCTGGCCAAAGCGCTGCCCCACGGCTGCGATTATTACCGCGTGCGCGACGACGGCGACAGCCCCGTCTTCTGGTGGGCCGTCACCCTGTGTCCCCGTTGGGTCCCCCTTCGGGCCCCCCGTTAGGTCCCCTTTTGTTCCCATTGGGTTCCCATAGAGCTCCTACGCGGTCCCCATAGCGTCTCCATTGGGTCCCTGTCACCCCATGTCCCCATTGGATCTCCACTGGGTCCCCTTTGTGTCCCCATTGTGTCTCCATTGGGTCCCTGTTGGGTCCCCCTTGGGTCCCTGTACCCCCATGCCCCCACTGAATCCCTATTGTGTCCCCATAGGGACCTCATAAGGTTTCCGTTGGGTCCCTGTCACCCCACGTCGTCACTGTGCCCCCATAATGTCCCCGCGGTGTCCCCGTTGTGCCCCCATAAGTGTGACCCCATTGTGCCCACCCCCCAGTGCCCCTATAAGCGTGTCCCCATGAGTGTGCCCCATAAGTGTGCCCCTCGAGTGCCCCCAGGTTCGCCATGGAGTGCCTCAAGGAGTGCAAGTTCTCCTTCGCATCGGACGTGTGGTCCTTTGGAGTGACGCTCTACGAGCTGCTGACCCACTGCCACCCCGCGCTCAGCCCCCCAGCGGTGGGTCTGGGATGGGGGAGGGGGTCCCCAAATAAGGGGGGCGAGCGGCTCTGACCCCTGTGTGTGTTGTCCTCCCCACCCAAAAAGCAGAAGTTCCTGGAGATGATTGGGGCCACGCAGGGGCAGATGACGGTGCTGCGGCTGATGGAGGTCCTGGAGAGCGGACGGAGGCTGCCGTGTCCCAGTGGCTGTCCCTGCGAGGTGAGGGGCAGCCCCTGCCCCATAAGTGGGACCCCCTGCCCCATAAGTGTCCCCATGGCTGTCCCTGTGGGTGAGGGTCACCCGATGCCTTTTCTGCTCACTATTTTCCCCTCTTTTCCCCCTTTTTTCCACGTATTTCTGCCCTTTCCCCCCCAATTTCCCTCTATTCTGACCCATTTCCCCCCCATTTCCCCCACTTCTGCCTCACTTCCCCCCATTTCTCCCCCATCCCAGCTGTACCGGGTCCTGCAGACATGTTGGGATGCAGCCCCCACTTTCCGCCCCACATTTTCCCACCTCATCCCATTGCTGCGCTCCTTCTGCCTCAAATACGGCTCTGCTCCGCCCTCCGTCTTCAGCGTCCTCTGAGGACCCCCCGGATCCCCTTGGACCCCTGGACTCCCCCAGCCACCACCACGGACCCCTCCCTGACCACCACACCCAATTTTGGAGTATTTAATTACTTTTTAATATTTCTTTTAATTTTTTTTTTGCTCCCCTCCCCCCCCCCCCCCTTTTTGGGGTTGTTTGGTACTTTTTAATTAATTTTTTTTCTACTAATTACTATTTTGGGGGGGAGGTCACATCCAAATCCACCCACCCCAAAACCGAACAGGGCCAAACACTGTGAATTTGGGGGGTGTTCCCCCCTTCCCCCCCCTCCATTGCCAAATATTGGTGCCCCCCCCAAATGTGACAAAGCGGATGAGGACCCCCCCCCCCCTCCCCAAATGCCTTTTGTTTTTTCTGGGGAGGTGTGGGGGGGGGACAAGGAATTAAGCAGACCCTCATGTGCCCCCCCCAGTTGTACATAAGGGGAGTGGGAGTGCTGCCCCTCTCCTCATATTTATTGCCTCTGTGTGACCCCTCCTCCCCCAGACCTCTCATTTTATGGAGAGGACCCCAATAAAGGCTGTAACGGCCCCAGATGTGTGCTGTCCTGTGGAAGGGGTTCCGAGGGGGGGAAAATGGGGGGGGAGCATTGTGGAGGGGAGCCAATATGGGGCGGGCATTGAGGGGGGGCAGGGGAGTCCTCATGGGGCACAGAGGGTCTGGGGGTTCCTATGAGGTGAATGAGATGGGGGGCTCATGTTTTTCTATAGGGGGGCGGGTCTTGGGGAACTATGGGGGGGAGGGGGGCAGGAAGGGTCCTAGATGAGGGAGATGGCCTTACGGGGTTGGGGGACCCTATGGGGTCTCTGGGGGCTGTTTAGACCCCCATAGGGCTGAGCGCGTCGCGATCCCTTTAAATTTCGGCGCCGGGACAGCTGAGGGGCGTGGCCTTAACTAACCAACCAATGAGCAACCGAGGGGGGCGGTGCCCTTCTCGCTTCACCCAATCGGAAGGCGCAATGCTCTCGAGAGGCTGCTCTCAGCCAATCCGCGCCGCCGTTGCTCCCGGTTTTTCTTTTGTTTTTTTTTTCGCACTCCCCAATCGGCGCCCTCCGTACTCCGGAGGGCGGGCCAATGGGAGAGCGGATTGTTGGCTGAATAGAAGGGAGGCGGGAAACCAAAATGGCGGCGTTGGCGGCGGCTGAGCGGGTCCCAGCTGAGGAGATTCCGCCGCTGGACCCGGCCGAGGTGCGCGCTCGGCGGCTCCGAAACCGCCGCAAAGTGGTCATCCGGGGGCTGCCCGCCGATGTCAGCAAGCAGGTGGGGAGCGGAGCGGGGCCTGGAGGCGGGGAGTGGAGCCTGGGGGGCCTTGGGAGAGGCGTGGATTCCTGGGGAATGGGGCCTGGAGGGCAAGTGGGGCCTCGTTTGGGGGGGGTGGGGGGTTAAGGGGAATTTCTTGGGAGGGTTGAGATGGGAGCGAGGTCTGGGGATGCAGGGAGATGATTTGGGGGGGGGGGAGGGGGGTTAAAGGAACTTGGGGGAGGGTCTGTGAGAGGAGTTGGGGGGAGAAGGGGGTCTGAGGGACAGTGGGGGAGGAGTGGGGCATGGGGGGGTAGCGGGATCTCAACGGGGGGCTTCGGAGCTGGGGGGGCTGAGGGAAGAGTGGGAATGGGGACTGGGTGGCAGTGAGATCTTTGTAAGGGGGGGAGTGGGCATGGGGGGGGGGACAGTGGGGCTGAGGGGGGGGTTGGGGGGGCGTGGGGCATGGGAGGGGGGCAGTGGGGTCTCTGGGGGGGATGGGGTCTCTATAATGGGGTCATTTGGGGCTGAGGTGGGGGGGGCACTGGGTTGAACCTCCAACATTTGGGGGGGGGATGGGAAAGCACATCTGGAACCTCCGCTCTGCAATTCCCTCTTTGCCCCATTATGTGGGGCAGAAATCGGGCCTAATTTGGGGTGAATTGGGGAATATTTGGGTGTGTTCCCCCCCCCCCTTCAGGAGGTGCAAGAAATGCTGTGCGACTTTGAGCTCCAGCACTGCTTTGTGGACAGGCACAGCGGAACGGGTGAGCGGCACTAATTATGTGGGGAGGGTAATTAACGAGCAGAGAGTTGGGGGCAGAGACCCTGTAAGGCCACGAGAGTTTGATCTGTGGGCCCTTTTGGGGTCCTTGGGGGGCTCAGATGACCCCATAGGACCACCAGACTCCGATCTGTGGGTTCTTTTGGGGTCCTTGGGGCTCACAGATGGCCCCACGGGTCCTTGGGGTCCTTTGGGGCCGACAGATGACCCCTGGGGCCCCTCTCACCCCCCCACGTCCTTCCCCCTCAGCCTCCATCACGCTGTCAGACGCCGCCGCAGCTGAGCGCGCCCTGCAACGCCTGCAGCGCTGCACCCTGCGCCGTCACCGCCTGCACGCAGAAGTGCAGCCATGCATCGCCCTGCTCTGCGTGGCCCACCTGCCCCGGCATTGCAGCCAGCAGCCGTGGGAAGCGTTGGTGCGGCCGTACGGCGCCGTGGGGCGGTGCTGGTTGGTGCACAGCCGGGCGTCGGGGCGCTGCAAGGGTTACGGCTTCGTGGAGTATTTGCACGAGGAGGCGGCCGCCGCGGCGCAGGCCGAGCTGCAGGGCCGGGCGCTGGGTGCGCAGGTGCTGTTCGTGCGTCGGTGCGACGCGGGAGGGGAGCTGATGGAGGAGGAGGACTTGCACTCCAGGTGTTTGTGCGTGGAGGGGCTGCCCAGGGGCTACGCGGATGGAGAGGGGCTCCGGAGGGTCTTCTCGGGGGTGTGCGGCCCCAAATTCTGTCAGGTACGGGGTGAGGGGGGGTGTGGGGTAGGGGGTTTCCTCCTTGGGGATGTGGGGGTGCGGAGGGGTTCAGGAAGTCTTCTGGGGGTGTGCAGCCCCGAATTCTGTCAGGTGCGGGGGAGGGAGGGGCTACGGGGTGGGGGGAAGGGGATGGGGGTTTGGAGGTGGGAAGGGGGCTGGGGAATGAGCTGGGAGGGGCGCGTTGCCGTGGGGATGTGGGGATGGCGGGGGGAGCAGACGTGGGGCTTTTGGGGCGGGCGCTGGGTCTCACGCTCCCATGCCCACAGTTGGCCTGCGGGCCGGATGGGCAGCCGCTGGGATTCGCCGTGCTGGAATTCGACTCGGCAGACGCCGCTGAACGCGTGCAGGCCGCCATGGACGGCGCTCTGGTGGGCAGCAGCCGTGTCTGCGTGTCCTTCTGCGCCCCCGGGCTGCCGGGCCACAAAATGCTGCCCGCCCTCGTCGCCGTGCGCACCGCGGTACGGCTGTGCGGGGCTGCGCTCCGTGCGCACAGAAAGCTCTGAGGGGGGAATGGGGCTCCGCTGGGGGATTCCAGCTGGGTTTGGGGCTCTCCTTCTCCCAGCCAACAAAATCCCACGGACGGCACTTGTGGGGGACTGGGGGTGGGAATGGGGCTCCGAAGGGCCCCACGTCGGGGAATTACGACTGAATTTGGCGTTTTCCTTCTCCCACCCCAACAAAATCCCAGTAACGGCATTTTTAGGGTCTCTCGTTAGGGAATGGGGCTCCAAACTGGGTGGGTGAGTCTTCCAAAATCTGGGGATTTTTCCTCCTCCCAGCCCAGCAGAAGGCCCACATTTACGGCGTTTTTAGGGACTCTCTTATGGGATCGGGTCTCGAAAGGTCCCCATTAGGAATGATTTGCTCAATTTTGGCCTTTTTTGCCCCGTTTTTACAGGCTCAGAGCCGCGGCCGAGGGCTCCTCCCTGACCCCACGCTGCTGCAGATCCTCAGTGCCCTCCGCAGCCCCACTGCTGCCCCACTGCTGCACGGAGCCCTTGGGGGCAAACGGGGTAAGGAGGGCGGCCCCATAGTGCCAGAGGGGTTAATGGGGTAAGGGGGGCTGCCCCATAGCATTGGGTGTTGGCCCCATAGTGCTGTGGGGCTGCCCCACAGTGCCAGGGGGCAAACAGGGTAAGGGGGCAGCCACACAGGAGTGGGGCTGCCCCATAGCCTTGAATGTCAGCCCCATAGCGTTGGGTGTTGGCCCCGTAGCGCCGTGGGGCAGCCCCATATGTGTGTTTGTGCCCCATAGGTCTCCTCGGCGCTGCCCCATTGCTGCCCTTCTGCCCCACAGTGCTGCAGTCGGTGCTGCAGAACCCAATGCGGGTACAGGGCGTAAGAGGGGGGAGGATTTGGGGTGAAATTGGGAAATTTGGGGCAATTTGGGAACAATTTGGAACAATTTGGGGGGTTGGGGGCATTTTGGGGGAATTTGGGGAGATCTGGGGGGATGTGTGACAGTTTGGGGGAATTTGGGGCAATTTTGGCCAATTTTGACCAATGGGAGAATTTGGGGCAATTTTGGGAGATTTGGAGAATGGAGGAATGTGAGGTTGGGGATGGAGGGATTTGGGGCAAAGTTGGGCAGCGTTGGGGCAATTTGGGGGGGATTTGGGGAACGGAGGAATTTGAGGTTGGGGGATGGAGGAATTTGGGGCGAGATCGAGCAGTTTTGGGGTGAAAAAGGTGAATTTTGGGTGCGTTGCGTTGCAGAAGCCAGGGCTGCTGGGGGAGGCACCATTGAGGGTGCTGCCCCACGGCGTCGTGGGAATGCCAACAGTGAACGCTGCGCCGCTGCTGGGGGACACCGCCACCGGTATGGCACCTTCCAGGACCTTCCCAACCCAGCCTGCGCTTCCGAGACCTTCCAGCTCTTTCCCAACCCGTTCTATGGCACTGCAACCTTCCAGGACCTTCCCAACCCCTTCGATGTCTTTCAGCTTCCTTTCTGACTCGTTGTATGACATTCTAGGTCCATTTCAACCCATTTTTTGACCTTCCAGGACCCTCCTGATCTCTTCTGTGGCCTTGCAGCACCCTTCCAACACGTTATGTGACCGTTAAAGACCCTTCTGACTCATTCTGTGACCTTCCGGGACCCTTTCATGCCATTCTTAGACCTCCCAGGTTCTTTCCAACCCATTCTCTGACCTATGAGGACCTTCCAGGACCCTTTCCACCGATTCTCTGACCTTCCGGGACCCTTCTGGCCCGTTCCGTGTCCTTTCAGGCCCCTTCCAACCCCTTTTCTGACCTTCCAGGACTCTTCCAACCCATTTTCTGACCTTTGAAGACGTTTGAGGCCCCTTCCCACCCCTTCTCTGACCTCCCAGGACCCGTTCCCTCT